GGCGCACGCTTGTAATCCCAGCACTGGGGAGGCTGAAGTAGGAGGATCTTTGTGAGTTCAAGGCCAGCCTGGTCTACAAAGTGAGCTCAAGGCCAGCCTGAACTGCATAGCAAGACCCTGTCTCAAAAAGAAAAAAATAAACAAACAAAAATTTGACTTTCACAGTCTTACTGAAGGCATCAAATTAGCATTGCTACTTGTGAGGCAAGCTGGCATTAAGTGCTTTGTGAAACAAAGCTTATAATTCAAAGATCACCCAAGAAATTACAGAAGAAAATTCTACTTGGAGTTATTCAGCTTTTATTCTCAGTTTCCAGTTTGAAGGAAATACAGAGAATAGAGAAAAGTTACATTAAAAGAAACAAGTATCAAATGCAAAAAGTAAGATTTGTAAAATAAATAACTTGAAAAACCTAACATGTTTTTTTCAAAATGATAATTAAGCAAATGTGATGCAATTTTTACATTGAAAACAAAAACAATATAACAAAAGAAATTACATATATATGTATATATAAAATGTATAATATATATATGCAATGTCACAGGAACATAATATGGAAGAAAAAAAAGCCAAAAGTTATGAGGAGCACACTGGATATATTACAAAGCTACTGTTCATGTCGTTAGGTTTCATATTGGCATACTGATTATAGAAAAGAGTTTCATTTTCTTTAGGAAACTCATGTTGAATGTCAAAACATAGAGGTGGGCACTGTCACATCTGCAAACTATCTGAATAGTTCAGCTAAATAAATAAAAGAGAGAGAGAGAACAAGAGCAAGAGTTTGACGTGGCAAAATGTTTGCAAGTGTTGCAACTGGTTAGTGGGTATATGCTATTCATCACTCGAATTCTTTAACTTTTCTGTATGTTTGAATCACGATAAAAAGTTTTAACAAAAAGAACAGATAGTGATGAATGAAATAGCTCATAAACTCACAGTAAAGATTGTGATTTAAAAATAAGACAGTATCTGCCAAGGTATTTCAAATAAAATTATTATAACATATTAAACTAATGTTGGTTGCATTTAGGGTAATACAAGTATACCTGGCTTCCAGTTCTGATCTCCTTAATCCATCCAATGCCTTACAGCCAAAACCAGTTTTCAAAAAAAAGATCTAATCATGGTATTCATGCTTCAAGTGTTTAGGATCCAACGCATCCTCCTTGGGATACTTCCTAATCACATTCTGCACAAAAGTCAAATTCTGCACAAAAGTCAAATTCTCCTAGTCACATTCTACACAAAAGTCAAACAGATGAACTTGTGCTATAGAAAAATGTCCTTTGTGCCAAAGGTTCCTTTGTTCTCTCAATGTGATGAGCACAGTGGATGAGCTCATTCAACCTATTCTGTCTTCCCTCTTCCTTGTCCAGATTGGAAGGGTCGGAGGAACATCTTGCAAACTGCCTTTCTGTTAGAAAGCTGGACTTAAATTAGGGTCTATCATTGGGAGAACCTGTTCACAATTTGCAGCATAGAATCCAGGCAGGTCCATATCTACATCTCTTTTCTCTGACTTTTGTTATCTGGAAAATCCATGGACCATGAGATTTGTCCGGTAGCATTCCAATCTACCTCCAGCTTCAAGAGTACCGGGTTCTACAGTCTTCCTGAAGAGGCATTTTAATCCTAGGGTCACAGCATAGATGTCCACTTTTCAGTGTCCTGATTGTCTAGAGGTGGCTGAACTGCAGAAGTTTGTGATACTAATCAATGTTTTGGATTCCAGCATAGTGTCCATGGTAAGTCAGTTCTTCATATTACTAGAATTATTCCTAGAGGTCCAACTCTGAACCTGTTCTTTTAGCTTTTCCAATAACTTTATGAGATTTAATTTCCCGTATTAAAACCTTTCTTGAATTAAAATATTTAGAGTACAGTTGGGTGTAGCTTAGTGGTACAGGGCTTTTCTACCTTATGGAAGGCCTTAGGTTCTGCATAAGAAAGGAAAGGAAAGGAAGACAAGAAGGAAAGAAGAGAGTGAGAGAAAAAAGAAAAGATAAAAAGGAAAATACCAAAAATGGCTTTCATTTACCACACTGAAGTCTGGTAAAATTTTGCAAACCTAAGAAATAAATATCTAAAAAATAATAAGGCACTTTGAAATAATGGGAACTTATACATGGGCAGAGATTCCAAAGATCTAGACCATCAAACCATCCTAGACAATTAAGAAAAAAATCAATTATTCTCTGATTGCAGCTCTGTCTAGGAGGAACCTGGGACACATTTTTAAAGTATCGAGGTGTTTATGATGCAACCTGCTTGGCATGGAGCCCGTGAGAATTAAAGACATAAGGGCTCGGTTCACAGACCTCAGGAAATCTAACCTGTTGCCTGATGCAAGAATTTCACTTCTGATATTTTGTTATTTCCCAATCTTCCTCTCCTCCTTGTTACAGACTATTGTCTGAGGTAATTTACTACAAAGCAGAAGCTCTCCACTGAGGGAGGCCACCTTCACAGAAGAAATGAAATCACTTCCTCTAAAATGATGCAATAAAGCAAACCCCCACTTAAACTCTGGTTTAAAAATCAATGTTTTACTTTACAAAATATATAATATACTTATAGTATATTAGTATATATAATATACTTATAGTATATTATTTACATGTATATTTATTAGCTCAAAATACATACCAGATAATATTAGTATACTAAAACAGGATCTCAAAGTGGTATATCATGGAAATATCGAATTATAAGACTAGAAGTAAACTCAGGGGTAAGTATTTTCTAAAGAGAATCTACAATGGGAGGCTCAGTTTAAAAGTAAGGATATTCAGGGTTTATGGAGGGCTTGGGGAGTGAATCTAGAGGCCTTTTCTTTGGTCTTTTACTCAGTTACTGGTTGATCGAAGAGGAATGTAGTATTCAGTGTGGTGCATATTCCTCCTTGAATTTTCAGTGGAAGGTACTTTGAGATGTCTGTTAACCTAACTCATCTGTGGATCCCACTTTAAATAGTTGGAGATATGGTTAGAGATGGGCAAGAAAACAAGGAAAATCAAAATAATTTTAAAAGAAACAAAAATCTGTAGTTTTCAGAAAGAAGGGGGTTGTGGAAATGTGTACCCTCCTTAAATCAGAAAACAAAGGTGAGAAGGCAAAATATTTCTCAGCATCACTTTTGTAAGACTGAGAAGTCTTTGGGTTTTTTTTTGCAGGGGGGTTCTGATACTGGGAATCAAACTCACGACCTTGTTCTTGCCAGGCAGGTGCTGTGCCACTGAGCTAAACCCCCAGCCCCCAAGAAGTCTTTGGAATTGGAAGCCCATCCACCCCCAATATTCTCACTCTGGCAGTAACAGTGGGCAGTGCTGCTTTCCATTAACTGCAAAGGTGACCTGTGGTTCTGCCCAAATTCCTTTTCATACGTAATCCCTCTTTTGAGGATAAGCTAGGTAGTTTCTTGAAAAAATTGTAAGATTGAACAGCTAAATATTAGCTAAATATCACAGGATAGTCTCAAAGACCCCCAGGGTAGAGTTTGCATTAGTAAATCAATAAACATGAAGGATATTTAAAATCCCATCTGGTCTGCTAGAAACAAGTTCATGGTTACCAGTTCATAGAGTCTGCATCTGATAAATACAGTCTCAGAGTTTAGGGTAGAAACTGGCCTGTGTTTTCTACATTAGTGATTGTCAAGAAGTACTAGTGAGCTCATAAAAGCAAACAAAAATATTTAATTTAGCTGATCAAAATTCATAGGCAAAACCACACATTTATTGTGTTGTAGTTGCACTCAAGATCATTCATTAACTTAGCAGATACTTGCTCAGTGCTTAGCATGTGACAGGTGGTGAACAGGGTCCTTGTTAATATGGCTTTTACATTCTGGGGGTGTCACATGTCCCTAGAATGCTACCAGTGGTCTGAGGAGCTCCTGCTCCAGAGATCTAAAGGTGTGGATATTGGAGCCAAGGTAACCTGACTTTGGTTCCCAGACTCTCTTCTTGCTGAATGTGTGAACCTGGATGCTTGTCCCACCTGTTGTCCCTTCTCTTCTTCTGGTCTCCAGGGTAGCTATGTCAACCAACATGGCGCCACCTTGGAAAAGGAAAGGGGTGATCCCACAGAATGAGAGAAAATTCACCCATGTCATCCAGGTGAGAGAAGCCAGTCTTTGAAGGAAAAAAATCAAAAATTTCCTTGTGAATTCCCTCTTCAAATCACCTTTCCACCTTAGAGGTTCCATCCAGATAAGACCTCTGCAGGCTGATCTGGACCTGCGCATGGATGAGCGGGCCTGATTCCTCTCCCACAGGCCGTGTCCAGAAGCCAGACTCACCTAATCATGGGCATCAGCTGGTACAGACGCTTGGTTCCACTCCAGGCCTATTATGTCTGAATACCAAGGGATTTCTATTTTTAACAAGCACTGTGGAGAAGCACTATTTCAGGTTCATTCAGCCCTAGACAAAATCCAATTAAAGGCTGAAAGCAGATGGCTTTCTTACCACAGGAAGAATTTTTCTCTGAAGGTGCTAACAGAAAAGATAGTCATCTAATTTTCTTCAATGCCACCAGGATTAGCCTAATTTAACTTTTTTTTTTTTAATTGGAGGACACAAAGAGGGTTGGCATATGGTACTTTGTTAAATCTCACCTAGGTGCCTGGCTTTTTGTCTGAAGCTGAAACAGTTCTGTCCTGTTAAATTCACCAATAGTTCTGTAGGTACCCTGTAATTTTACAAAGTGTACATATAGCATAGAAATTTTACATAACATTCCTTTTGAAGAACTTTTATGATTAGGAAATTAATTCTGTACATGGCACAGAATTTTTCAAACAAGAATGACATCTTAAAAAGAAAAACAAATTTACCTATTATCCCAAAGGCTAGGATTAAAAGGGAATTAAATTATTCTTTCCCTTTTTATTGTATTCTATGCATATAAATATATTTTTCTATACTATTTAAGATCATACTGTAAATACTTGGATGGGGTGTGATGGCGCCACACTGCAGACTGAGTGTGTTGCTGATACCCCCCCTGACTGGACCACCATTTTCTGTAATTTCTACTGGCTGTGAGCTGCATTAGAAGGATCCTAGGAGACCATCAACCCACGCAATGGAGGCAGTGACCCTGGAGGATGTAGCTGTAAACTTCACCATGGAGGAATGGGCTCTGCTGAATCCATCCCAAAAGAAGCTCTACAGAGATGTGATGTGGGAAACATTTATGAATATGACTGCTATAGGAAAGACCTGGGGTAACCAGCAATTTGAAGAAGAATACAAATATTACTCCAGAAATCTAAGAAGTAAAGAGGTAGTGAAATTCTGTCAGAATCAAGCTTGGAATCAACTTGGAAACACCTTCCTTTGGACTTCAGATGAGAATGTGGAGATGCAACAGGCTGCTGCAAGGCCAGATGAAAACCGTGATTTTAGAAAGCCTCTGATTGGGCATTTATCACTGAACATGTCCATTTTACCTCACACTGGGCTGAAGCCATGTGAGTATGTGGGATTTGATGAAAAGCTGAGTAATTGTAATGAACATGGAAAAAACTGCAGTGATTTCCAGTCCTTCCAGAAACATTCAAGAACAAATTCTGGAGAGAACTCCTATCAATATGAGCAATGTGGGACAACCTACTGTGAACTCAAGGAAAGAACTCAACCTGGAATGGAAACCTTTACATGCAAGAACAGAGTAAAAGGCTCTAGCACTCCCAGTAGTATTAAAATCCATGAAATTATTCACACTGGTAAGAAACCCTATGTGTGTGAGCAATGTGGAACAATGTTTACTGATAAGTCTATATTTCTTAGACATAAACTAACCCATACTGGTAAAAATGCCTATATATGTAAGCAATGTGGGAAAGTATTCACTACACTGAATTATTGTAAAATACATGAAAGAAGTCACACTGGTGAGAAACCGTATATATGTGAGAAATGTGGGAAAGCATTCACTACACTGAGTTATTATAAAGTACATGAAAGAATTCACACTGGAGAGAAACCCTATGTATGTAAGCAGTGTGGAAAAGCATTCACTAAATTGAGTAATCATAAAAAACATGAAAGAAGTCATAGTGGTGAGAAACCCTATGCATGTAAGCAATGTGGGAAAGCATTCACTACGCTGAGTTATTGTAAAATACATGAAAGAAGTCACACTGGGGAGAAACCATATGTGTGTGAGAAATGTGGAAAAGCATTCACTACACTGAGTTATTGTAAAATCCATAAAAGAATTCACACTGGTGAGAAACCCTATGCATGTAAGCAATGTGGAAAACGATTTACTGATAGGTCTACATTTTACAGACATAAACAAATACACACAGCTGAGAAACCCTATATATGTAAACACTGTGGGAAAACATTTACTAGACTGAGTTATTGTAAAATACATGAAAGAAATCACACCGGGGATAAACCATATGAATGTGAGAAATGTGGAAAAGCATTCACTACACGGAATTATTATAAAATACATGAAAGAATTCACACTGGGGAGAAACCCTATGTATGTAAGCATTGTAGGAAAGCATTCATTAAACTGAGTAATCATAAAAAACATGAAAGAATTCACAATAGTCAGAAAGCATATATATGTGAGAAATGTGGAAAAAGATTTGTGGATAAGTCTGTATTTTATACACATAAACGAACCCACATGGGTGAGAAAGCCTATATGTGTAAGCAATGTGGGAAAGCATTCACTACAGTGAGTAATTGTAAAAAACATGAAAGAAGTCACAATGGGGAGAAGCCCTATGTATGTAAGCAATGTGGGAAGGCATTCACTACACTGAGTTATTGCAAAATACATGAAAGAATTCACACTGGCGACAATCCATATATATGTGAGAAATGTGGAAAAGGATTTGTTGATAAATCTGCATTTTGTAGACATAAACAAACCCACATGGGTGAGAAAGCCTATGTATGTAAGCAATGTGGGAAAGCATTCACTACACTGAGTTCTTGTAAAATACATGAAAGAAATCACACTGGTGAGAAACCATATGTATGTGAGAAATGTGGAAAAGCATTCAATACACTGAGTTATTGTAAAATACATGAAAGAATTCACACTGCTGAGAAACCCTATGTATGTGAACAATGTGGAAAAGGATTTGCTGATATGTCTGTATTATGTAGGCATAAACGAACCCACACAGGTGAGAAAGGATATATATGTGAGATATGTGGAAAAGCATTCACTACACTGAGTTATTGTAAAATTCATAAAAGAAGTCACACTGGGGAGAAACCCTATGTGTGTAAACAATGTGGAAAAGGATTTGCTGATAAGTCTGTGTTACGTAGACATAAACGAACACACACAGGTGAGAAAGCCTATATATGTACGCAGTGTGGAAAAGCATTCACTACACTGAGTTATTGTAAAATACATGAAAGAAACCACACTGGTGAGAAACTGTATGTAAGAAATACGAAAAAACATTCACTACACTGAGTTATAAAATACATGAAAGAAGTCACGTGGGGAAGAAACTATGTATGTAAGCAAAGTGGAAAAGGATTTGCTGATAAGTCTGTATTTCACAGACATAAATGCACACGTGAAAAAGCCTGTTTGTATAAACAACGTAGAAAAGAATTCACTACACTGAGTTATTGTCAAAGACATGAACCACACAGGTGAGTGACTCTATGCAAGTAACTATGTGGAAAAGGATTTGATAGTGAATCCTCATGCATAGGTCTCCCTGATTTGGAACTGTATGAATATAAACAATGTGGGGAAAATACTCAATGGGCAGCTTGTATTAACTACATGAAAAAGTCACACTGAGCAGAAACCCTGTATATTTAAACCTATTTTGAAAATCCTGCGAAAATTTCTCATATAGTAGAGACCTGTATAATTTTAATGAAAATTTTGATAGCAATATTCCCTCATAAATTTTCCAGTAAATGCACTCCCAGATGGATCCTAGAATGTATTCCTTCAGGGTTATTTAGTAAATCCCTTGTAAGTATTTGAGTTATGTATCTGTAGTCTATAGTATAAAAAAATTGTCCTATATTTTTTTATAAGCCATTGTCTTTAAATTTAATATATGCTATCTTCTAATTAAACAAGGTGAATTAAAATATATTTCTCACTTCCAAATAGGGTTACTATTTATGTAGTTTTAATTTTGTTTTTAATATGGGAAGATATAGGCTACTAAAAGATAATTTTATTCATTGTGTTTTACTTGATGGGATTTCCCACTAGCTTTGATTTTAATTTTCTTTATGTACATACTTCATATTCTGTGTAAAAATGATACTTTTGAATTTGATTTTATATATGTATACAGATTTAGAGACATGTGAACATATATTTGTGAAAAGTTCATTTGTATTCACAACTTGCAGATTACCGGATGTTTCATTTCTTTTATCCTAACAAGATATGTACATATATCAAAATAATTATATCAAGTGCATAAATTCACCTATTTTGCTTTTATGTTGGGGTCAATATTATGATTTATGTAAAGTTTTTTTATCTTCACCCTTTTACTTTTCATGCTTATATTGATATGACTTGCAATTTTGTTTTAATTTTACTGCTACTTGTTCCCCAAAATAAACTATACAACTTTGAGTGTAAATACTTGGAGGGTACCTGTATATTTTCACACATGTCTGATTAATATTTCAGAGAAATAATTTTATTTTATTTATTATTATTGAATATTCCCTATGGAAAAGGAAATGGGTGATCCCACAGAACACTGTCATATGCTGGGGATACAGTGGAGGAAGCAACTTGTGTCTTAATGAACTGACAGTGGTGGGATGGTTGAGAGACCAGCTGGCCAGTAGAAAAAGGAACAAAATAATTACAGCTAATGAAAATATCAGGAATGGTAACATCTGGGTACCTGCCAGGTGACAAGAACAGTTCCAAGTATGAAACCACTGAATTCTCACACCAATCAGACTGCATACAGAATAAGTACTTGAATGATCTCATTGTTCAAATGTAAAACCAGAATTGCTTACCAGTCTGTCTAAATGCTAACAATGTGCTATGAAATAAATAACTGGGAAATCCAACTAAAGTCAGGTACCAGAAAAGTCCTACATGTGGAGATATTTTGGTAAGGACTACAGATTTGAGGACAAGAGGTGGCAGCAAAGTAAAATCTGAGTCACATGAAACCATGGATATCGGACACATTCCCTACTGCTACACTGAGACTCCAGCTGCATCAGTCAGTGCCACTTCTGTCATCTGGACTGTGGAGAACATTTCGTGCTCTGGATAGGTATTGGGATGGAGATTGGGATCCAAAACAGTATAATGTTACTGATCAGCACAGAAGCATTCTGATCATTTTAATAACCACAGATGATACCAGATACACAAAATCCCATGGCTATACGGAACATAGATGGGTACATAGCCATAATGTGGAAAATTATCCCTCCTGGTTGAATATTCCTATTGTTTTTTAAAAGCTGTTACAAACAAACAACACTCATCATGAACATTTTTATTTATACATGTTTTGCTCTTGCTCAATTATTTCCTTAATAAATTCATAAGAAATGCAAATATGATTAAATGTATGTACATTTTGAAGGCTTTTAATGTAATCTGAAATCTTTTTGGGAATTTTCTACTGAGTTACACTTCTCCTAGTTATATATAAGAGCACTGGTTCTCCTGAAAGCCATCACATAGCTTTCTTGTTTGGTTTTGTTTCTTGTTACTTTTTTGAGACAGGGTCTCCCTATGTAGTGCAGCCTGGCCTTGAACTAGCTTAGGTAGCCCAGATGGGCCTCAAACTCAAGGAAATCCTCCTGCCCCAGCCTCCCAAATGCTGGGATTTAAGGTGTGCACCACCACACCTGGCTTCATCAAATAGTTTTTGTAGCCATTCCAAATTATCCAAAGAGCATCTAGGGGAAGAGGAAGATTAGGCATTTCAAGAAATGGGAAGAGGTAGAGACAATGGAATATTTTCACAAGAAAGAACACAATATTGTGCAGAGTTGAGGTACACATATGTGGGCATGTGTGGGAGAACAAGGTCCATGCTCCACCCTTCAGAGAGACACATGTGTCATGCATCTAAGGGGATAAGGGGGGAGCTTTGTCAGGACCAGTCTGAGAACGAGCCACATAGGCACTCAAGCACATGAGCTGGGTCTCCTCTATGTCATGCTACAGGAGGTGTTCTAGGTGAAGTTATATAGAGAAAACACTGAACTACGCCTGTGACATGAAAAGGAAGCCACCGTGCATGGACTGTGTGGAACACATGAGTGATTGAGAGGCAGACTCAATCGCGTCAGGAAGGACCTCATAGCCCAGGCTTAAGGCTTGGTAGGTGATGGGAACCCAAGAGCAATTTATAATCCTGAGAAAGGCAAGGTCAATACTGGGTCATATATATGGCAGAGGTATGTGTGGTGCGTTCTAATGGGAAGAGAATGTTTGGAAAACATCTCAGGAGGTGATATCTGCAGAAAGGGAGTGAGAACACTGAACCATGGAAGCCAAGAGCAGAAATGACAGCTATTACAGTTACTTCAGAGGGGCAGTGCCAGGTTAGCAATGGGTTGGAGAGCCAAGGGTAAGGAACTAGCAGACGACTTTGAGGGTCTGCACAAGCAGTTGATAAGTAGAGGGACTGATAGACTTGCATGCAGTCAGGTGACCTGTAAGCATCCAAGGAGTCTCAGCCTCAAGGTGAGGTTTGAAAATGCGTTAATCAGCTTTCCATAACTGAAATGTGCTATAAATTTGAGGACAACCTGGACTGTGTAGCGAGACCTTGTCTCAAAAACAAGAAAAGAGACAGAGAAAGAGACAGAGAGAGGAAGGAAGGAAGGAAGGAAGGAAAGAAGGAAGGAAGGAAGGAAGGAAGGAAGGAAGGAAGGAAGGAAGGAAGGAAGGAAGGAAGGAAGGAAGGAAAAATGAGAGAGAAAGAGAGAAAGTTAGTTCTTTGTTTAGTTTTGGTTTAGTTTTAAGAGAACTTTGGTTCTTTTTGGTTTAGTTTTTAGAGAAGTCAGTCCACACTCTGTTGCTTCAGGTCTGTAATGGCACATTATGGTAGGAGCAACTGACAGTAGCTTACTCCATGGCCAGGAAGAAGAGAGAGGGAGGGAGGGGATAGGGTCATGAAATTCCCTTCAAGGACTAGAAGCCTTCCCACCAGGCCCCACCTCTTAGAGTTTCCATTGTTTCCCAATAGTGCCAAGTGGGGCACTAAGCCTTAGTGCATGCTGGGCTTTTGAGGGGTAGTTCAGATTCAAAGACTAGCAGGGAGAAGGTATTACAGTGTGTTGTAAATCAGGAAGGAGGAAAAGGAGCAGAGGAGAAGGAGAAAGGAAAAGAGACACAGAAGAGAAAAATACTGAAAGAGTTAAGATCTCAAAAAAGAGAATGACTATGAGAAGGATCAAGAGGAGAATCTGCCTTGGGCTAAGACAAAGTCCATTCATTACTCAAGGTAAGTGCACAGGGTTGGGAGGACACCTGTAATAAGATCTCTGTGTTCTGATGACAAGGACATGAGGCTCCCCAAGAGGGCTGCTCCACAGGGAACTGCATAGCTCCCCTGGCAGCTCCAAAACAAGCCCCAGACTGGAGTGGGTATCAAAGAGAAGCTGTGGAGATCACCTAAAAGCTGCCCAAGTTCCCAAGACCACTGTAATGGTTGATACATTGTATAGCTTGAGAAGTTTAGAAGATTAACTAAGCTACTCAGCAGGTAACCAGGGTCCTCACTTTGTAAACATCTTCATACTGTGCAAGAGGAGGGCACCGAGATGGTGTGAGTGCTATACCCGTGGGCAGGGGGAGCCTGCTTACAATATAAAGGAGAAAAAGAGGCTTGCTTTGCCCCTTTTGCTCTTATTATTTTTTGCTGTCTTCTGCCACCTTGAACTGCTGCCCCTGCATCATGCCACCCTGCCTTGGAGCCAGCTGATTACATACTGAAACCTCCACAAACAGTGCTCTAAATACACTTTTCCTTCCCTAATTTTGGGCATCAGGTATTTTATCTCAGCAAGAAGAGAAGAGGAACCAAGACAGAATTTGGTACCAGAGAAGGGGGGTCATTGCTGTGACTGTACCTGAAAATGTGGTTCAAGAGCCTTTGAGAATGGATTGTGGGAAGAGTTGAGAAAGATTCAGAGATGTCACCTGAAAGAGTAGAACTAGAACATCTTAGCCTATTCTGTATGGGAGGTTCTGGTCAGAGCTTAGAAGACCAGAAGTCTGATAGAAATCCTACCAGTAAAGATCAGGCTTCAGAGGTTTCTGCTGAGAAGAAAGACTGCATTTGCTGTTGGAGTCCAGACAATATGTATTATAGCTTGGCAGATAATTTGTCTTCATTTTGTTCCTGTCCAGGGACTTTGTCTGAGACTGAGATTAAGAGCAGCAGATTAATTAATCTGGCAGAAGAAATTTTAAGGTAGCCTAATGTTGAGGCTGTGGTATGGCTATTGTTAGGGGCTTTTAACCAGATCTATGCTGAGAATCAAGAGGAAAGAGCCCAGCAGGATGATTTAAAACATTGTGAGTTTGCCCAGAAAGGAATCTCCAGTAAAGCTATGGACTGAAAAGAGAGAACAGAGGAGATCTCAATTGCTGAGAAGAAACAGAATATAAAAGATGGCCTGAGGGCATGACAGGAAGCAGTTTTGCCTCAAAACTGCAAAAGTGAGACTTTGCTCTGAGGAGAAAGCTGCAGAGAGCCATGTTCCAGAATGGCAATGGCCATACCATTTTCCAGAATGTTGGCAGCATAGAAAATTTGTTCCTCAAAATTGGATTCAGAGTGCCCAGCAATCCAGGAACCTGATCCCTACAGCCAAGAGAGATGAAAACCTGACTACTGCTACAGCTGGCAGCAGACCTTGGCATCATCCACATGGCACTTGTTTTAAATGCACACAGAATGCAATAGTTATGGGTTTAAGAAGGCTTCCACCACAATTACAGAAGGCCTGGGAGGCCAGGCAGTGTGTCCTTCAGAGGGTAGTGTGTTAAGCTGTGAGTGTGAAGCTGAAGGTGCAGTGGAGACCTCAGAAATTTGGAAAACCCAGAAATGGGGATGATCTAAGGAAAGCTGCAAGAAGGAAACAAAGCAGGCCTAAGAGAGAAGCTGTGAGAGTTATAATCACCAGAAGTGGCATAGGGGTGGAGTCACTCAAGCTCTT